CAATTATTCGTGAACAAAATATTGTGGACTGCGTTTCACTTTGAGTCACCTTGAAGATGCACAAGAGGAAGGAGTCTCCCAAAGCAGTATTTAAAACTAATTAATTAGTTAATTAAAGTTAATTAGCGAGTCAACAAAAGTGAATTCGTGGGCAACAGTTTATTTATGAAAAGATGCAAACATCACAGCAGGTGCATTTCATTATTAATATGTAAAAAATAAATAAAAAACAAAGTGGCAATAAGAAAATAAGTCAATGACATGAAACAGCATCATCATCAGCAAAATCAGTGGACATTATTAGAGATTAATTAAAACAATTCCTAATATATTACCACACCTATGATATGATTTAAGCAAAACATTTGCATAATTAGTTCAATTTGCAGCTTTCACGTGAGGCAGCATTTTTGTTTCCACTGCACGTCTTTAGAATTACGCACAATATTTGTAAACATCCTAAAAGCTCAGGGTACAGCAGCACCTTCATCAACACAAAATACAGAGAGCAGCGCGTTAAAGAGCGAATGCAGGTGTTTCAGATGTGTGGATTAAATACTAATAAAGCAGGACAGTCCAGAAAACGTGTTTTTGTGTGCAGATATTTCTCTGTGACTTATAAAAAAAGGCGCAGCACTTCTAAAGACGCACCATTCAGTTCGAGCACGTTTTAAACCAGCAGCACTTTTTTCTTGCAGCCTTTTGCAACATCTCAAATAAAAGATGGTGGAAAAAAAAGCTGTCAGTGTGAAAATGTACTGTATTTCCTTTTTTTTAGGACGAAATCTGCCAATTTGCTCCTGATTATCAAATTAGGCTGCTGATTTCTTTCCTTAAAACATTTCACGAAACATGCGCACTTTGTTTCTGAGCAGTACCGGGTTCTAGCAGCCGGAATCGTGTTCAAATTCCGTGCAGATGAAAGTTTGCGATGGGAGCCCGTATTTGGCACGGCTTTTTCCTCCCATCTGCAGCCTGGAAAATCTCACGTTGCGCTAAATGCACCTTTGGAGAGCAAATCCAGGTGCGCAGATCTGAAAAGCGCCTCGGTTCTAGAGATTTCCACTTCTGGATCTGCTGTTACGCATAACGAATGATTGATTATCTTTATTTTTGGACGCTCATTAGTTGTTGCACGCTGGCCTGAAAGAGGTCTGAAAACTTCTCCGAGGAGCGAGCAGTCGCCCTGAACGCTGCACGCCTGCTACTCGCCTTGTTCGCGGACAAAGCCCTGATTTGGGAAAGACGCGAAGTTGTGGAGAGCTTAGCTGCACGTCTGTATGCGTGCGAGTGGTGGAGAGGTTTGTGAGAGGTACAGCTCATCATGCAGGCAGCGGCCCCCCCGGGGCAGAGAGCAGCCCTTGGCCGGAGTGAACATAAGAGGGCGCTGCCATTGCACCTGGGAGCCCGTCCTGCCCCAGCCAGCCCCGGGCCCACGGCCGGACACTGCAGCCCTGCTGCCTTGACGCGAGCCTTCAGAGCCCATCAGCATTAACACTGTCGCCCAGCTCAGACAGGCCTGTTCCTGATCAGCCCCGCTCTTCTTAACCTGCATCTTATGCCTCGTTTGTCCACCCATGTAGATGAGATGCTAATCAGATGCTATAAAACTTCAGCACCATCCTCTGGTTTCAAAATAATAAAAAAAAGAAGGGAAAAAAAATAATAAACAGAAAAAATACATTGCCACTAAAATTGTTTTTTGAGCAATGCCAACGTGGACTTGCGTGCCTCCTGTATCAACGCAGCGCCATAAAGCCCCCCTAAATCCTTCCACCTAAAACGCTCATCGTGCTTTAATAAAGTTACTAGACTATTGGCAAACAGCTGCTTTTTATCTTTAAAATGCTTTCACCCGTTCTCATTTCCTCACCGGTCGCTTTTGGGGCTTTATTATTCAAGGATGGCACGCGCGGTGCACGAGGTTAAAGACACACACACGCACACATACGCACGGCATTGCTTCCAACACTGACAAACCCCTGATCTCATTGCTTTGTGTGTGTACCTATTTATTTTGTCTGTTGAGTCTAAAGGAGTAAAAAAGCTCCACACAGGGGTCGCTTTGTATCACTCGAAGTGAGTGAATGAGTGAATCTGATTTGATGATTTGCTCAGCATAGAAGCTTCTGAGACTAGATTGGGTTTTTTTGGTTTAGCCTGTGCTTTGCTGGGAGGGCTAAAGTCTCACACATTCCCATAAGCTGAAGTGTTGCTAACATCTATGTTGCTGGTTGACTCTTGTGTGTCAGACTTGTGTCCTAAATCTAGGGAAATATAAGGAGATCCACACTTGGTGTCACTCAGAGTGAATGAGAGGATCGGTTTAGTTGTTTGTCTAGACCCGTTTATGTGTTTTTGCCTGTGCTTTACTACTATGGCTAATAAAATAGCCTTCTTTTGTGCCACATATTAACCCAAAGTGCTGCTAAAATCTGTGTGCTGGTGTTTATAGTACAATGTATGTGTTTATATAGTACCTCTGTATATGTACAGTAACTACACAGCTGAATTGAACTGAACTGAGACAGTAGGCCCTCAGCTCCCACACACTGCTGGGCTAGCCTAGCATGTAGCCTACACATTCCGATAGCACAGTATTTTTCTGCTACCTCCTCTGTTTTCACAGAAAGTGTCGTGTGTCCCTGTCAGGCCACGGTAGGTCTGGCCAACCTCGGCCACGTTTACCCCGGTTAGATCCAACAAATCTCCCACCAGAGCTGCGCTTCTCCCCTCCCGAAAGCCTCAGCGACCACACCGGCCTCTCTTTATTATCTCACCGGTCATTCTCTCCTCTCTCCTCTCGCACTCTATTTTCTATTCATTCATTTTTACAATCTCTCCCTCTCTCTTTCTCTTCCCCTCTCTCTCTCCCACCCCTCCGTTTTCCCAGGAGAGCAGCACAGCGCTCGTTCCGGACTTTCCCCCCCGTCTGCCTCTCTCTCTCCCCGGCCTCTATGCGAGCATCTCCGCGCGCCTCGCACGTTGCCGTCCGTCACTTCACGTTTTTTCCTCCTTTTTTTTTTATCCCTGTCTTTTTCCCCCCTTAATATCTCCTCATAGCGCACCGTTACCGGTCTGCACGCTCGCGGATGACAGATGGCCCATGCTAATGTATGTAAAGTCTATTATTTCGCGTAAATATGAACCAAAGCGGCGCGGTGCGCAGAACCGAATACGGTGTTGCAGTAAAATGCATGCGCTGTAATCACACACACATCAGCTCGTGCCACTGTGCGAGCTCTGGGCTACTCTTTTGGGGGGTCAGGCTGTTGTGGTATATTGTCATTGTTTGTATTATGGCTCCGGACCCCCCCACCACCACCACCACCACCTCCTCCTCCTCCTCCCTCACCACCCTTTTTTGTGGTCATAGTCAAGCACGTGCATGCCTGAAAAAAAAGCTGAAAAAGTCCATCATGCATATGGAGATGCGTTTCTTTGTGTTTCTTTGCAACACGAGACTGCTGTCCCTTCATGCCATGGCAGGACCCAAACGAAGACGGACACTGTTCTGCACAAATGTACAGCAAAAGAAATAAATATAATATAATATTTAATATAATAATAATGATCATAAATAACAATAAGAATTTAACGACATGCTTTGCGAATGGATACATATTATTGTGCTTCTCACAAACCTTTTATTCAGTGCTTTTGTTTGTAACCGTATGGACACGCAAGGGCAGTTGAACTGTCGTTATAAATTGCTTATTAATATATCATTCATGCAAGCTGAGAAAAAAACATGCACTGATTTTTTTTTAATGATTTTTGTTTTTAATAAAATTGCATGCGTAACGCAAGACAATCACATGACATTTGCACACAACAATACTAATAAAAACAATACCACAGAAATCCATCATGCACACACACACACACACACACAGCTACACGGCGTGAGGATGTCCACATATTTCTTTTCTGTAGTGGTAAGAGAAAATATTTGTGAAAATTTGTGCTCGTTGTTTCCAATAAGCGTTATGTAATGAGTGGAGGTAAGCCGGTTAGCTGTGTTTGGGGGGATTAGGGCCCCTTGGAGCTGTTAGCAGGGAAAGTGTGCATATTGAGGGAGAGGAACTGTGCGTTTCTTTTTAAAGAGAATCCACAATGGTATTATCATGACAAAGGGCTCAGGGGTCCGGGCCCAGAACACACGCTTTGGTTTCAGCAAGGAGGCGCTTTAAGTGACCATCAAGGAGAGGCGAGATGTTGAGGAGCGAAACCTGTGGAGGAGAAGAGGTGCTCCCTTCAGTCGCTCCTACAGCTGCTCCTATTGAGCTCGGGCCACAAAGTTACGACACCACTTATAAGCCGTTATTCAAAATAAATAAATAAATAAATAAATAAATAAAATAAAATAAAAGTGTCCAAAAAAAAGGGTGAAATTTGCTTATTCTAATTTAACCAATCGCGATTTAGCAAATCAGGATCCAAACTTGAATGATCTCTTGTATAACCTGCTCACGTGCGTGCATTCAAATATAATCTATGCAGTAAATTCATCCTGAAACAGGTTTTAACCCAACAGCCCCACTGAACACGATTATACCTTTAGGTTTCACAAAAGCACTCTTCTTCCTCTTGTCTCACACTAATGGTGTGTCCGCGCGCGCGCGTGTGTGTGCGCGCGTGCCTCTATTTTCTTTTTTCCCCCCCTTTCTTTGCGTACAACATACTTTTCTCGCCGAACACGCGTTTGGATACATATTTATAATGTTTACATCCTCGTAAGGTTCCTCGTGCATTTGCATAGTGAAAATCCATCCACTCGCCACACTTTCCTGAAGTGTGAGGGGCAGCGAAGTGTTGGTGATTTGAAAACCTCAAATCTCTTTCTCTCCCTGACAGGTTGTAAAAAAATCAAACGGCACTTTTTCTTATTTTTTTTTTTGTTTGTTTTTTAATTTGAATAAAAGAGTCTCTCAGATGTAAGCATATATCTAACATCTGCAAGCCTGCGATATTTAACCAGTGCCGCAGAGAAAAAAAAATGTCACTGCTCTGTTATCATGTAATAAAACGATCTATAATATCATAATACGGTGTTATACGTGCAGTGCACTTCAACACTGTGAAGCGAGGAGAGTTCAAATTCAGACCCAACGCGCACAAAACAGCGCAAAACTCGGGGGGAAAAAGTGCAGCCGAGCGCATCCTCTTTTTATTTTAATCGTGCTTGGTTAAAATAGTAGTGGAGATCATGTCAACGGCTGCACGCGTGTTATGCTCTCTGCACGGCTGTACAAGTGAAATCTTGCACCGCTCGTGTTTCGGCGTGTAAAAAAAGTGCAAAAGAGTTGAACATCTAACACACAGAGGGTCTATTTATTCCTCAAATCCATGCAGTTAAGTTGCTCTTACTTTATTAAAGTGTCCGTTCAGGCTGCACTGTGTTTTCTGCTGCTTGGTCAGAGATCAGACTAAACATCGTAATGTGTTATTGGGTTTATAAAAGCCGCAGATCTGACTAGTCGCTCCAGTCTAAGTAGAGGCGCTTCCAACAAAATGAGTCTAAGATAAGAAGAAGAAGAAAAAAAATACAGGGCGCAGAAAGAGAAAGAGAAAGAGCGCAGAAGCTTTATTAAAGCGTAAGAGTGAGTAAAAGTGTGTGAAAGTATGGCGAAACTTGTGCGAGTCCAACTCGGGGCTCACACACTCGGTCTGAGCTGATAAAGTTAGTCAGAGAGAGAGGGAGAGAGAGAGAGAGAGAAAGAACGAAGCTCTGATATTTCAATTCATAAACACGCTCACTCTCATAAACATACTTAAAAGAAAGAAAGAAAGAGAAGAGAAGAACGGAGAAAATATCGTCCTCCGAAATCCGCTCGCTCTCCTCTCCCCGCCGACTTTCTCTGCCTTTCCCCTTCTAATCAAACTCTCACTTCGCGCCGGCGCTTAATTCCATATTTTCAATTCCTGATCATTACTTTCCTCTTTCTCCCTTCCTCCGTCCATCCATCCATCCCTCCCTCCCTCTCCTCTCCTCTCCTCTCCTCTCCCTCCCTCCCTCGCTCTCTCTCTCTCTCTCTCTCTCCCCCTCTCTCTCTCTCTCTCCTTTGCTGAATCTTATTGATCCAGAAGGTGGCTAATTAGCCCTTCCCGTCGTGCCTGTGTAATGAAGCACATGCGCACTGAATTAATCACAGCCATTTTTTTTTTGCAGGAAACTAATTAGCAGGAATAAAGCTCCAAAGAGTTTTTTTTTCCTTTTCAATCATCAGATCTCACTTTCACCTCTTCCTCTCTCCCTCTAACACGAGACTCATCGCCCGCTTTGCATCCAAATTATTTTTTATATCGCCTTTAACGACTAATACTTCGGGTGTGTGTGTGTTTTTTTTTTTCTCCCCCTCTCTCTCTCTCTCTCTCTCTCCTTTTACTCTCCGCAACAACAATGATCTTTCTTTTACCGTCCTAAACGCAAACTGACCGAAAAGGGATCTGCCTTGATGGGATCTTTAGCCAAACCGTCTCGATACTGGATTAAAAAGCGAGGATCTCAAAGCGGCAGCAAAAAAATTGTAAGTTTCAACTTTGCTTTCTCTCTCCCTCTCCCTCTCTCTCCGCTCTCTTTTTCTAGCTTTACGGCGAGGCTACGTTGCTTTTTAGTTTCAATAGCGGGCGAAAGGGCTTTTTTTCGCCTCCTTTTCCCCTCCGCCGCTGCTTGGGCTGACTAGTCTTCTCAAACTGTGAGAAAGAGCAGGCGATATCGACTCGTTTTCATGCAAGTTGGGTTTTATTCAGTGCCTTTTTCGTGTCGTTACCTGTGTTTACATCTGGGCTCGTCCTCGCTCTTCTCGCCAATGGAAGAGAAGAAAAGGGGGGCAAAGACAGCGATTCCTTTTTCCGAACAGTTAGCCGCAAAAAAGGCTTTTAAAAGCACATTTCTGTCTTTCGAAGCGTTCACGGTGCACAAAAAGGGTTTGGTGTTGTGGTGGAAGGCGCTTGGTCGGGAGCTTGGTCGTGAGGAAGCGGGTCCGTGGAGCTCTCGGAGGGCCAGCGGGTGCCGCCAGCGCTGGTAGCCGGGAGAGGAGCGCGCCAGTCCGGCCTGGGGCTCCGGCAGCGACCGCTGCGCGGGGAGCGTCGACCGCGGTCCCGTTTCTCCGCGCAGAAACCCCCCGGCTCTGCTCCTCGGTCCGTTCGCCCCCTCCCCGTGTTTTCGCCACCTTCTCCCGTGCCGAGCGTCCTTTCATTCGCCCACATCTTTACTTTTCCAGTCGCTTTTTTAGCGGCGATCTCCCTCCGCCCTGCTTTGCATTTCAGTTTCCTCTCTACTTTTTCGCCCGTGTCACTCGGACCGTCTTTGCTTTGCTTTTTTCCTATTTTTCACTCCCGTTTGCTTTTTTCCCCCAAGTCGATTTAGATTTTTTTCTTTTTTTTTGCTGATTCCCAGACGGAGTCACATAGAAATCGATCGTGTGTGTGTATGTGTGTGTGAGTGTGTGTGTGTGTATGTGTGTGTGAGGGTGTTGGGTATAAAGCCAGAGCCCCGGCTCTCCTTCATGCCATGAAGCCGAAAGCAGAGCAGCAGTAGCCGGTCCACACGCACGCGGTGGGGGGAGAGAACTTCAACACGAGCCGGGCAGCACTTTTAGCTGTTTCAGGGCAAAAAAACAAGCAGCGTGTTCGAGATCCAAATCAATGCATTTCAGTCCAATCATGACCACAAAGCAACGGCTGGCGAAAAATCCTCTGTTGTTTGAGTTTAAAAGACAGATTTGACGAGAATTTTGAGTCAGTTCACAATTTTTGTCACTTTGCTTCCTGTTTGGTAGAGTTTAACTGAAAAAAGAGGCAGATGGGAGCATGAAAAAGGACCAGTCTGCAGAAATAAGTTGTGAAGGTGTAAACTTAATGGAGAGTGCAGGTGTGGTATGGATGCAGGAGAAAGGGGTGGAAAAAAATAGGTGAGATGGGAAAGCGACACTGGTGTGAAGGAGAATGTGGCTCAGGTTCCCTCCGAGCCAGGTAGGTAGGCAGGAGAAGTAGTGGACGAAGCAGAGGAGCCACGGAGGAAGATCCAGAGAGCGCGGTGGCGGCCGAGGGAGGGAGGACGGACGCACGGATGAGGGGAAGGAAGAGAGGAGCCGTGGGTTGTTTTTTTCTTTCTCCTCGGCGGAGAGACACGGGGCGAGGAAATCTTTTTTTTTCTCCTTTTTTTTTGCGAGCAGAGAGCCAGGGGGGACGAGAGGGGGAGGTTGAGAGGCTTGGGGGTCAGACGGCGAGAAAGAGGGGAGCAGGGGTCACCGAGCGAGTGTAAGAGAGATAAAAAAGAAAGGGAAAGGGGAAAGCCCTGGCGTTAGCAGCCGAGGGAAAGAGAGAGGGGAAAAGCAGTGGGGTGGGTGTGTGTGTGTGTGTGTGTGTGTGTGTGAGAGAGAGTGTGTATGCTTGTGGGGGTCACTCAGAGCCTGGCGGTGTAGATTGTTTGGGGTCAGCGAGAGAGAAGATAGGAAAATGCAGCTAAAGTTTGGTGAACAGATGCTATGAAACGTGGAAAAGTCCTTAGTTTTGAAACTGGCTGTGTTGTTTTTTTTGTAAGACAGCTTGTGGAGGAAGGCAGGCATGCAGAGCAGGAGAGGGAGAGAGAGACAGAGAGGGAAAGAAAGAGCGAGAGAGGATAGAAAAGGTCAAACAGCCATGGGCCATATCGAAGGAATCAGGGAAGAGGTCAGAAAAACATGAATCCCAAGACCTTTCATCCTCTCCGTCTTGTCCCGGCTAGAGGAGCTCATGAGAGGACAGTGCTAACACCAAGCAGAGCAGGGAAAAGTCAGTGTTGTTGTTGTTTTTTTTTTTAATTTATTTTTTAATTCATTTTCTTTTGCATTTCAGTATGTAATGCTAATTTAAACGTAAAGGGAAAGAACAATCTAGAACGCTGCTGTAAACATTTCAAGCTAGATGCCACATCTGGTTAAGATAAATCGGACAGCGGGAACATCCGGGTGTGTGTACTCTTTTCTTTTATTTGTCTTTTTTTTTCTCTTCCTTGACGGTTTTCATAGGGGGCATAGTGGGCAATGGCACTCTTCACCCCCCCCTCCCTACACTGCCTCCTCCTTTTTTTTTTTAAAGAGAAGAGAAAGAGAGAGGGAGGGAGGGAGGAGAAGGACAGATAAGTCAGGATTTTTGTGTCTGAGCTCCATGGTAGAGGGGTGGCAATAATTACACGCGTCACACAGAAAAGGATCTATAGCATATTACAGGTGCTGTGCTGTTCTCTCTCTCTCTCTCTCTCTCTCTCTCTCTCTCTCTCTCTCTCTCTCTCTCGCTCTCTTTCTCTTTCTTTCTCTCTTTTCTATCCTTTACCAATGCAAAACAAAGACAGCAGGCATGCTCTCTTGCCATCCTGAGACATTTGTGGATATGATACCCATCTCACACCGTTCACACTGTTTGCGGACAATGACTGCGGCGTTTATGTGGAGAAACTGCCTTCGTCTCCAGTGTTCGTTCTCTTTTTCAGCATTTGTTTTCCCATTTGGATTTTTTTTATCGAATGAATATTCAAGCGACGATTTAAATATTCAGAACCCCCCCCAGTTTGTGCTGCTGCAGTCGAAGCGAATTTCTAATTCTATTCTGTCGTTCAGTCAGACAGTCTGCCTGAGTGTGAGCTTATAGTGGGGTGTAAGAAATCTCAGCCTGAGATGTGGCCGTGTTAGCATTTGTGGTTTGAGAGGGCGTCACTAGCTCTCCCTCCCTCTTCGTTTCTGTCTCTCCTTCGTTTCTTTCTCCTGCCATTGAAAGATGGTGGGGAGAAGCTTTTAAATGCTCCACGTTGCACGGACCTGGGTGGTAGCGGCGGGGCTCGTGTTGCTGTTTTTTGCAAAGTATTAACTTCACTTGATCCTTGACAGGTGGAGGGTGAAGCTCTCGAGACACCTTCCTCACCTTTTACACCTTTATTCCTTTACACTGTCTACTTCAGTCTAATGGCTTTTATAGAGGATGCTGTAGATGTAGCGTTTTGCGGACATGCAGGGAGATTTTTATTTCTCATTCACATGACTTAAATACGCCTTTTTTGTGTGTAAGGAAACATGATGCTCCTTCGTCTGCAGTTACAGCGTCATATAATGGATAATGTAAATTTTATTTTGGTTTATCAATGGATCTGTAAAGCAGTGTACTAATTATCATCATTGCTATTATTGTTGTTGTTATTATATAGTATTAACTAATTATAACAATACATTAAAAATGTAAAAATAAATAATAAAAATATTAAATAAAAAAATTCAATTCACTGAATATTGTTGTTATTATTATTATTATTTGTATTATTATTATTGTCAATAATGATAGTAATAAAAGTAGTAGGAATACTACAGAGTTACTGTGTAACAACGGCCCAATTTAGTTTTGTTCCAGCACAGATATTAGCATGTTTCTGGGACGTCAGCACCGATAGACAGCTGTTTGAGTGATGTTTATGTTTGAGCGGCGGTAGACGTGCGCGCTGCCTCGTTTCTTTTCTTCTCTCTATCTACCTGAGGCCTTTTCTGCGGCTTAGTTTCTCACCTCTGCCTCTTATCAAAACACACTGCTTGTATTCAGTGCCAAGTGTTCTTGTCCCGGTTATGCAGGGTGTATGACTGAAGACGACGCCGTGATGAGGCGGCACGCTGAGCAGTGTGTGTGTATGAATGTATGAGTGTATGTATGTGTGTGAATGGACACAGGAATATAGGAAAGGGGGAGATGGCATGTGTCTGTGCACCCCTCCCTATCCTCTCTCTCTCTCTCTCTCTTTCTGTCTGTCTGTCTTTATGTCTCTTGCTCTCTGGAGGCTGGCACCCTCGGGGAGAATGCTCCAGTCATGTCTTCAGTGGTAGAGAGCCCTCTTTGGGCCGATATCAGTGGCAGGCCATTCAGCTTACTCACTGTAGTAGCAGACATGTGTGCTGTTTTGTTATGGGGTTTATAACTGATTTATTATGCAGTGAGTGAGAATAAAATCTTATAATTAATTGATTTTGTGATAATAACAGTATTATAATCGTTGTAGTAATATTGAGCATATATTTATTTTTTTTTGTACATTTTCTGATCTGCTTCTGTATATTTTGGACATGAGTGTTTTATGCAGCGTTAATAATGTCCGTGCAGTGTGTGTGTGTGTGTGTGTGGATAAGTCAATCTCTGTCATGAGTTTCCCATTAATCCACTCGTGCTGAGGGGCCGGGGAAGGAAAGCGTAGCGCCACCTCCATTTGCTGAAGGGCTGTGTGTGTGTGTAAATTAGGTTAGCAGGAGCAGTGGGTCCGATTACACATGATGGTTTTGAATATGCAAGCCTGTGCAGTCAGGACCAGTTCTTCCAGTCTCGCCGCGCTGAGCTGGAGGACAATGGCGGACGTGTTGGTGGCATCATTAAACGGCCGGGTTGATGGAGGAGGGGAGGGGGAGCGAAGGGGGGGATGGTGGAAGATTTAGGCCGCAGATACTCAGGTGTTGCCCTACCTGTGTAAGCACAGCCCAGACCGCAAGGACTGGCGCTTTAATCCAGCTGGGTACAC